TATTGTAGCCATCTGCTGCAGCCTGTCAACTATGCCTCTGCCTATCCCTGTTCTCTCCTCTCCGCACAGGCTATACAAACGCCTCACACCGCGTGGCTGCTGCCTCTCTAACCTGGTGGTCCCTGCACGCACGACCCACGTGGAGTTCCAGGTCTCAGGCAGCCTCTGGAACTGCCGTTCTGCTGCCAACAAGGCAGACTTCATCCCAGCCTATGCTACCCTCCAGTCCCTCGACTTCTTGGCACTGACGGAAACATGGATTACCACAGAAAACACTGCTACTCCTGCTGCTCTCTCCTCGTCTGACCATGTGTTCTCGCATACCCCGAGAGCATCTGGTCAGCGGGGTGGTGGCACAGGAATCCTCATCTCTCCCAAGTGGACATTCTAAATTTTTCCCCTGACCCATCTGTCTATCTCCTCATTTGAATTCCATGCTGTCACAGTCACTTGCCCATTTAAGCTTAATATCCTTGTCATCTATCGCCCTCCAGGTTCCCTTGGAGAGTTCATCAATGAGCTTGACGCCTTGATAAGTTCCTTTCCTGAGGATGGCTCACCCCTCACAGTTCTGGGGGATTTCAACCTCCCTACGTCTACATTTGACTCATTTCTCTCTGCCTCCTTCTTTCCACTCCTCTCCTCTTTTGACCTCACCCTCTCACCGTCCCCCCCTACTCACAAGGCAGGCAACACGCTTGACCTCATCTTTACTAGATGCTGTTCTTCTACTAATCTCACTGCAACTCCCCTCCAAGTCTCCGACCACTACTTTGTATCCTTTTCTCTCTCCCTCTCCTCCAACACTACTCACTCTGCCCCTACACAGATGGTAATGCGCCGTCGCAACCTTTGCTCTCTCTCTCCCGCTACTCTCTCCTCTTCCATCCTATCATCTCTTCCCTCTGCTCAATCCTTCTCCCTCCAATCTCCTGATTCTGCCTCCTCAACCCTCCTCTCCTCCCTTTCTGCATCCTTTGACTCTCTATGTCCCCTATCCTCCCGGCCGGCTCGGTCCTCCCCACCAGCTCCGTGGCTTGATGACTCATTGCGAGCTCACAGAACAGAGCTCCGGGCAGCTGAGCGGAAATGGAAGAAAACTAGACTCCCTGCAGACCTGGCATCTTTTCACTCCCTCCTCTCTACATTTTCTTCATCTGTTTCTGCTGCTAAGGCCACTTTCTACCACTCTAAATTCCAAGCATCCGCCTCTAACCCTAGGAAGCTCTTTGCCACATTCTCCTCCCTGCTGAATCCCCCCCCCCCCCCCCCCCTCCCTCTCTGTGGATGACTTCATCAACCATTTTGAAAAGAAGGTTGACGACATCCGATCCTCGTTTGTTAAGTCAATTGACACTGCTGGTCCTGCTCACACTATGCTTTGACTTATTTCTCCCCTCTCTCTCCAGATAAAATCTTGCGACTTGTGACGGCAGGCCGCCCAACAACCTGCCCGCTTGACCCTATCCCCTCCACTCTTCTCCAGACCATCTCCGGTGACCTAATCCCTTACCTCACCTCGCTGATCAACTCATCCTTGACCGCTGGCTATGTCCCTTCCGTCTTCAAGAGAGCGAGAGTTGCACCCCTTCTCAAAAAACCAACACTCGATCCATATGATGTCAACAACTACAGACCAGTATCCCTTCTTTCTTTTCTCTCCAAAACTATTGAGCGTGCCGTCTTTAGCCAACTCTCTTGCTATCTCTCTCAGAATGACCTTCTTGATCCAAACCAGTCAGGTTTCAAGACTGGTCATTCAACTGAGACTGCTCTTCTCTGTGTCACAGAGGCTCTCCGCACTGCTAAAGCTAACTCTCTCTCCTTTGCTCTTGTCCTTCTATACCTGTCTGCTGCCTTTGATACTGTGAACCATCAGATCCTCCTCTCCACCCTCTCCGAGCTGGGCATCTCCGGCGCGGCTCACTCTTGGATTGCGTCCTACCTGACCGGTCGCTCCTACCAAGTGGCGTGGCGAGAAGCTGTCTCCGCACCACGTGCTCTCACCACTGGTGTCCCCCAGGGCTCAGTTCTAGGCCCTCTCCTATTCTCGCTATACACCAAGTCACTTGGCTCTGTCATATCCTCACATGGCCTCTCCTATCATTGCTACGCTGACGACACACAACTAATCTTCTCCTTTCCCCCTTCTGATAACCAGGTGGCGAATCGCATCTCTGCATGTCTGGCAGACATATCAGTATGGATGACGGATCACCACCTCAAGCTGAACCTCGGCAAGACGGAGCTGCTCTTCCTCCCGGGGAAGGACTGCCCGTTCCATGATCTCGCCATCACGGTTGACAACTCCGTTGTGTCCTCCTCCCAGAGTGCGAAGAGCCTTGGCGTGACCCTGGACAACACCCTGTCGTTCTCCGCTAACATCAAGGCGGTGACCCGATCATGTAGGTTCATGCTCTACAACATTCGGAGAGTACGACCCTGCCTTACACAGGAAGCGGCACAGGTCCTAATCCAGGCACTTGTCATCTCCCGTCTGGATTACTGCAACTCGCTGTTGGCTGGGCTCCCTGCCTGTGCCATTAAACCCCTACAACTCATCCAGAATGCCGCAGCCCGTCTGGTGTTCAACCTTCCCAAGTTCTCTCACGTCACCCCGCTCCTCCACACACTCCACTGGCTTCCAGTTGAAGCTCGCATCTGCTACAAGACCATGGTACTGGCCTACGGAGCTGTGAGGGGAACGGCACCTCCGTACCTTCAGGCTCTGATCAGTCCCTACACCCAAACGAGGGCACTGCGTTCAACCACCTCTGGCCTGCTGGCTTCCCTACCTCTGCGGAAGCATAGTTCCCGCTCAGCCCAGTCAAAACTGTTCGCTGCTCTGGCACCCCAATGGTGGAACAAGCTCCCTCACGACGCCAGGACAGCGGAGTCACTCACCACCTTCCGGAGGCATTTGAAACCCCACCTCTTTAAGGAATACCTGGGATAGGATAAAGTAATCCTTCTACCCCCCCCCCCCAAAAAATAAAAATAAATAAAATAAAAGTGTAAAGTGGTTATCCCACTGGCTATAAGGTGAAAACACCTATTTGTAAGTGGCTCTGGATAAGAGCGTCTGCTAAATGACGTAAATGTAAATGTAAATGAAGAGCCGATACCCCCTCTCCCTGAGCCTGAATGAAGAGATGAAAGAGAGCTTGAATGGCTGTTTGGCTAAATAGATGGCTTGCTGGCTTGCTGAATGGTTGATTGGCTGGTTTGCTGGCTGGATAGATGGATCAACCAATCAACCAACCAATCAACCCAATGCTTTTCATACAGGTTAATTTGACACAATGGTGCACAATGGTGCACTTTCCTGCTGAAAGGTATATTCATCTCCCAGTGTCTGGTGGAAAGCAAGCTGAACCAGGTTTTCCTCTAGGATTTTGCCATGTGCTTAGCTCCATTCCGTTTCCCAGTCCTTAACAATTACAAGCATACCCATAACATGATGCAGCCACCACCATGCTTGAAAATATGAAGAGTGGTACTCAGTGATGTGTCGTGTTGGATTTGCCCCAAAAATAAAGCTTTGTATTTCAGGACATAAAGTTAATTTATTTGTCACATTGTTTGCAGTTTAACTTTAGTGCCTTATTGCAAATATGATGCAGGTTTTGGAATATTTTTATTCTGTACAGGCTTCCTTCTTTTCACTCTGTCATTTGGGTTAGTATTGTGGAGCAACTACAATGTTGTTGATCCATCCTCAGTTTTCTCCCATCACAGCCATTAAATCCTGTAACTGTTTTAAAGTCACCATTGGCCTCATTGTGAAATCCCTGAGCGGTTTCCTTCCTCTCTGGCAACTGAGTTAGGAATGACGCTTGTATCTTTGTCGTGACAGGGTGTATTGATACTCCATCCAATTTGTAATGAATAACTTCACCATGCTAAAAGGGATATTCAATGTCTGGTTCTTTTTATTTTTACCGATCTACCAACAGGTGCCCTTCTTTGCAAATAATTGGAAAACGTCCCTGGTCTTTGGGGTTAAATCTGTGTTTGAAATTCACTGCTCGACTGAGGGACCTTACAGATAATTGTATGTGTGGGGTACAGACAGGGGCGCAACCTTCAATTGGGATGGACATGTCCCCCCCCCCCCCCCACATTCTGAAATTGTATTTTTGTCCCCCCCATTTTTATCATTGGAATGTGATACAAAACGAGCCAACGGTGTGCTTTAGGACCACGCGGACGGGTAGGCTGCTTGGAGTGTTTATCTGAATGGATAAAAACAAAACAATTAATTCCCCCCCCCCCCCCCACTTCTAAAACCAAAGTTGCGCCCCTGGATACAGAGATGAGGTAGTCATAAAAAATATATATGAAACACTATTATTGCACACAGAGTGAGTGCATGCAACTTATTATGTGATTTGTTAAGCACATTTTTAGACCTGAACTTATTTAGGCTTGCCATAACAAAGGGGTTGAATACATTTTGACTCAAGACATTCCAGCTTTTCATTTTTAATTAATTTCTTTAATTTCTTTAAAAAAATCTAAAAACATAATTCCACTTTGACATTATGGGGTATTGTGTGTAAACCAGGGACATAGAATCCATGCTAAATGCAGGCTGTAACGCAACAAAATGTGGAAAAAGTCAAGTGAACACTTTCTGAAGTATATAACTACTATCTGGATTACTACATGAGTTAGACTAGAGATGGCCAAAATCGTATATGGAAATGATTGTATCAATGATAAGTAGGCCTTTAAATTGGGTGAGAGGTCAGTTATGTGACAGGTGTGTTTTACCTGAACTTACTAGTGTCAGTGTTATTGCCCAGATAGTGGTTGCTATGGCACCCTATTGCACAGATAGTGGTTGCTATGGCACCCTATTGCCCAGATAGTGGTTGCTATGGCACCCTATTCCCTTACGATAGTCTACTATTTTGACCAAAGCCCTGAGGACCCTGGTCAAAAGTAGTGCAACTTGGGAGGCACCACTATCTGTTTTGTAAATCATCTACCTGGGCTATGACAGGATTTCTGTACTGTCAGGGGAAGACTAGAGTTTGAACCCTGAAACGTTCAATGTATTGCCAGCCGATATGTAGCAGTTTGCAGTCCCCTGTTAGTGCTGTAAGGATTCTACAGCACTGGTAAGCAAACTCTTAATGCATATTCTTATTCACCTGCACTCAAGTCGTTTGTTGTTATGTAGCAGTTTTATACTGTGTAGACAATACGCTCTAACGAACTTATTGACACAAGCAGATAACATAATGGTAAAGCTAAATTAGCTGTTATCTAAATGTATAAAAGATACAACTATACGTGGCATGAGGGCAAGACATGACTTTCAGGTCAATAAAGTATTTTTTACGGTCTAGAGGTGAATAGTTGAAAAACCAAGTTACTTTTGTCCTCTTTCTCCTCTCAGTGGAGAGATGCATTCCAGCTGTCCCCGGGGAGGCCTCTCGTTTCTAAGTCTGGTGTCATTACTCCTGCTCCTTGCCGCACCATCCTGCCATGGAGGAAAAGTCCTGGTCTTCCCTGTAGATGGAAGCCACTGGGTCAACATGAAGGTGCTCAATGTTGTGTCTAGCTGTTCTGTTAACTTACCCAACATTCCCTGCTTATTCCCTGCTGATGCCGGGAATCCAACCAGGATCAGGGAATTTTTTGAAAAAGCGACCAGATTTTTGCTACCATAGTACAGTATCTATGTCTTGACTATACAATGAGTGTACAAAAAATTAGGAACACCTGCTCTTTCCATGACATAGACTGACCAGGTGAATCCAGGTGAAAGATATGATCCCTTACTGATCTCACCTGTTAAAATCCACTTCAATCAGTGTAGATGAAGGGAAGGAGACAGGTTAAAGAATGATTTTAAAGCCTTGAGGCAATTGAGACATGGATTGTGTATGTGTGCCATTCAGAGAGTGAATGGGCAAGACAAAATATTTCAGTGCCTTTGAACAGGGTATGGTAGTATGTGCCAGGCACACCTGTTTGAGTGTGTCATGAACTGCAACTTACTGTTTACTTAGTTACATTTGACCAAATCACTCCAGTTACATAGATTTACAGTGGCTTGCGAAAGCATTCACCCGCCTTGGCATTTTTCCTATTTCGTTGCCTTACGACCTGGAATTAAAATTGATTTTTGGGGGGTTTGTATCATTTGATTTACACAACATGCCTACCACTTTGAAGATGCAAAATATTTTTTATTGTAAAACAAACAAGAAATAAGACAAAAAAACAGAAAACTTGAGCGTGCATAACTATTCATCCCCCCAAAGTCAATACTTTGTAGAGACACCTTTTGCAGCAATTACAGCTGCATGTCTCTTGGGGTATGTCTCTATAAGCTTGGCACATTTAGCCACTGGGATTGTTGCCCATTCTTCAAGGCAAAACTGATCCAGCTCCATCAAATTGGATGGGTTCCGCTGGTGTACAGCAATCTTTAAGTCATACCACTGATTCTCAATTGGATTGAGGTCTGGGCTTTGACTAGGCCATTCCAAGACATTTAAATGTTTCCCCTTAAACCACTCGAGTGTTGCTTTAGCAGTATGCTTAGGGTCATTGTCCTGCTGGAAGGTGAACCTCCGTCCCAGTCTCAAATCTCTGGAAGACTGAAACAGGTTTCCCTCAAGATTTTCCCTGTATTTAGCGCCATCCATCATTCCTTCAATTCTGACCAGTTTCCCAGTCCCTGCCGAGGAAAAACATCCCCACAGCATGATGCTGTGGGGATGGTGTTCTCGGGGTGATGAGAGGTGTTGGGTTTGCGCCAGACATAGCATTTTCCTTGATGGCCAAAAAGCTCAATTTTAGTCTCATCTGACCAGAGTACCTTCTTCCATATGTTAGTGGAGTCTCCCATATGCCTTTTGGCAAACACCAAACGTGTTTGCTTATTTTTTTCTTTAAGCAATGGCTTTTTTCTGGCCACTCTTCCTTAAAGCCCAGCTCTGTGGAGTGTACGGCTTAAAGTGGTCCTATGGACAAATATTCCAATCTTTGCTGTGGAGCTTTGCAGCTCCTTCAGGGTTATCTTTGGTCTCTTTCTTGCCTCTCTGATTAATGCCCTCCTTGCCTGGTCCGTGAGTTTTGGTGGGCGACCTTCTCTTGGCAGGTTTGTTGTGTTGCCATATTCTTTTCATTTTTTAATAATGAATTTAATGGTGCTCTGTGGGATGTTCAAAGTGTCTGATATTTTTTTTATAACCCAACCCTGATCTGTACTTCTCCACAACTTTGTCCCTGACCTGTTTGGAGAGCTCCTTGGTCTTCATGGTGCCGCTTGCTTAGTGGCGTTGAAGACTCTGGGGCCTTTCAGAACAGGTGTATATATACTGAGATCATGTGACAGATCATGTGACACTTAGATTGCACACATGTTGACTTTATTTAACTAATGCTGTGACTTCTGAAGGTAATTGGTTGCACCAGATCTTATTTAGGGGCTTCATAGCAAAGGGGGTGAATACATATGCACGCACCACTTTTCCGTTATTTATTTTGTAGAATTCTTTGAAACAAGTAATTTTTTTCATTTCACTTCACCAATTTGGACTATTTTGTGTATGTCCATTACATGAAATCCAAATAAAAATCTATTTAAGTTACAGGTTGTAATGCAACAAAATAGTAAAAACGCCACGGGGGATGAATACTTTTGCAAGTTGCCATAACTGCAGGCAACATAGTGTGCATACAGACGCTGGTGAATATAAAGCAGGATTCCTTACTGATACTTTGATTGAATATAAAGCATGTTACTTGCAAAAGGCACTGTATATTATGATATATTATGTCGCAGGGCTTGACATAAAGGGCTGCCGGGGGAGGTTAATGGAAAGTCTCCGGCCAGTCAGTCATCCACGTCAGTTGCCCGCTTGAAAAAAAAATAATAATAAAAAAAAAAAAAAAAAAAAAAAAAAAAAAATATATATATATATATATATATATATATATATATATATATATATATATTGTAATGATGCTATTTTCAATCTAGGCTATATAATTGATGAAATAACATATGACTTCCCGAAGCTATTAGTTCGTTATGTAGATTATTTATCACATAACAAAATGTGGAAAACGTCAAGATGTCTGAATACTTTCCGAATGCACTATATATATATATATATATATATATATATATATATATATATATATATTATTTATTTATATATTTTCCATGTGCGCCACACACAGCCTTAGCAGAATAAGCTGTATGTACACAGTGGTGTAAAGTAACTTAGTAAAACTTGTTTGGAGTACTACTTAAGTATTTTTTGGGGGGTATCAGTACTTTACTTTACTATTTATATATTTGACAACTTTTACTTCTACGCCACTACGTTCCTAAAGAAAATAATGTACTTTTTACTCTATACATTTTCCCTGACACCCAAAAGTACTCGTTTCAATTCGAATGCTCATGCAGGACAGCAATATGGTCCAATTCACGCACCTATCAATATAACGCATTGTCATCCCTACTGCCTCTGATCTGGCGGACTCACTAAACAAAAATACTGCATTTGTAAATTATGTCTGAGAGTTGGAGTGTGCCCCTGGCTGTCCGTACATTAAAAAACAATTAATATAAGGAATTTTATGTATAGCATTTACTTTTTACTTTTACTCAAGTATGACGTTTGAATACTTTTTCCACCAATGTACTTAAGTACATTTAAAAACAAACTTTTAGACTTTTACTCAAGTAGTATTTTGCTGGGTGACTTTCACTTGAGTCATTTTCTATTAAGGTATCTTTACTTTTACTTAAGTATGACAAGTGAGTACTTTTTCCACCACTGGCTGCACACTGTATCCTACAGCAGGCTACAGAAACACCACTAGTCAAACACAATGGTCTCTTGCTAGGTGTGCAATTGAATTCCCGAGTGGCACAGTGGTCTAAGGCACTGCATCGCAGTGCTAGCTGTGCCACTAGAGATCCTGGTTCGAATCCAGGCTCTGTTGTAGCTGGCCCGCGACCGGGAGACCCATGGGGCGGCGCGCAATTGGTCCAGGGTAGGGGAGGGAATGGCCGGCAGGGATGTAGCTCAGTTGGTAGAGCATGGTGTTTGCAACGCCAGGGTTGTGGGTTCGATTCCCACAGGGGGCCAGTATGAAAAAATACAAAAATAATGTATGCTCTGGATAAGAGTGTAAATGTAATTAAAGGGCAACTACACACAAATGCAGAGTTTTTAATAGTTTATCTCTGAGCTTCACTGATGCTGGTCATGCTGCTGGCAGGGTTAAATAATACATTAATGTCAAATCAATCTGTTTTTTTTTGCTGTCACAGAATACCAATAGTTGTAAAAAATTACCAAACTAAATTTGTAACTAGTACTTAAGTAGTTTTCTGACCAGGTACTTTTTCTCTTACTTGAGTAGTTTCTTACTTTTACTTAAGAACGGATTTTCTGTACTACACCCACCTCTGCCAGTACCAGTAGGCATTTACCATATGGTGTGCTGCAGAGGTTTTGCGATTTTCAAATGGTCACAACCGAATTAATCAGGGCACACCTCACCACACCACACCAAATGGGAGCAAAAGTACCTTAAAATCTGTTGAAGAACGGTGTGCACCGTTTTTGGGGAAACGTGTAATTCTGTACAAACCATCACACAACGTAAAAACAGTTGAGGCGAACTCAATGCACTCCTGGTCTCTTTCTGCAAAACATCTCTCTATTTTTCAGTGTTCTTCAATTCCGGTCCTGGAGGGCGAAAACAGGGACTAATTCAGACCTGGGTCACCAGGTGAATGAAAATAACTAGCAGGTAGAAACAAAACCCAGAAGTGTTTTGGCCCTCCAGGACCGGAGTTGAAGAACCCTGTAACTCAATGAGACAATTGTGTATACTGAGCTCACATATGCAATTGTTTTAAGATGGTCATACCATGGATCATTTAGCTAATTGATGTTGAATTATAGGACACCTTTAGGTATAAAAAATTTTTTGGGGATAAAATGTTGAATTTGGCCTATACTACTATAGCCCAGAGAAACGCACTTAATGACATTCATGAAGGCAAAAAGACAGCAAAAAAATTAATCATAGTAGATGTAAGAAAGTCCAGGAAAAATGTTAGTTTTTTTGGACACATATTGAACCCTTTATTTTTGTTGGCACAAAATCACCTCCATACTTCCATTTGTTTGTATAGGTTAGCTTCAGACGAGTCCCGTGACACTTATGGGGGCGGTGGAGCAAAACAGTTCGTAGAGCGGTCATCTTTCCATAGAGCGGTCATGTGAGTTTGTAGGTCAAACCGTTGGGACGCTACAGAAGTTTTCGTGAGAAGACCAATTTCTGGATGTCTCATGGTCTGACAAACATCGCTGTAGCTCGGCCACCTTCCACCGCAAATGCGGAAGGCTGACACAGGCGGATGCGGTGGATTGAGCCGCAGCTCAATTCACTGACAGATTTGGATGTTTTTTCTTTTTCTTGTGTTACTTAGATTGACACCTTTTAAAGGATTAAAACCTTTAAAAAGGCACAGTGTTGACAGCGCTCTACAACAGTGGTTATCCCACTGGCTATAGGGTGAATGCACCAATTTGTAGTCGCTCTGGATAAGAGCGTCTGCTAAATGACGTAAATGTGCCCTTGAGCAAGGCACTTAACCCTAATTGCTCCTGTAAGTCGCTCTGGATAAGAGCGTCTGCTAAATGACGTAAATGTGCCCTTGAGCAAGGCACTTAACCCTAATTGCTCCTGTAAGTCGCTCTGGATAAGAGCGTCTGCTAAATGACTAAAATGTAAATGTAAAATCAATGCGTAGGTGCTGATCAAGGAGCTCCATGCCAGAGGCCACACCATCACAGTGGTCAGACCCTCTACCAGCTGGTACATCACTGAGGAGTCACCTCTGTACACCTCCATCACCCTCCAAGAGAAAGAATCCTTATACAACTTCTTCGAGACCTTCCTACAGAAGAACCTGAAGGTATATGTCTCCATCACGTAGCTACAGAAGCACATGAAGTTACGTGTCTTTATCACTAGATTGACTGGAAAAGCGCATCATTGTGTCAAATTATCCTTTAAGAGAATCATTGGTTGATTGATTAATTGACCCTTCCAGCTAGCAATTCATGACGTGCCTACAGAAGCACATGAAGGTATGTCTTCATAACGTGCCTTCAGTAGCACTTGAAGGTTTGATGTGTCTTTATGACTGGTTGATCCATCTATCCAGCCAGCAGCCAATCAACCATCCAGCAAGCCAGTCAGACAGCCATCTATTTTGCCAAACAGGCGTTCAATCTCTGTTTAATCTCTTCATTCAGGCTCAGAGAGAGGGGGCATCGGCTCTGACGTTCTTCAAACTAACCAAGGAGTTCCTCAGCATGATAGAAGAAGCCCACTTCCTGAGCTGCGAGACGCTGGCTCGAATGTTCGAAGACAAGGAGCTGATGAAGAGTCTTCAGGACGCTCAGTATGACATGATGCTCACCGACCCTGCCATCGCTGGAGGGCTGCTGGTGGCCCACTACCTCAAACTGCCTGTGGTGCTCAACGCCCGTTGGATCACCAGTGGGGAGGGCCACTTTGCCATCGCCCCCTCTCCCCTCTCCTACATCCCCGTCCCAGGGTCTGGGTTCACTGACAAGATGACCTTCGTCCAACGGGTCCAAAACATGCTGTACTACAGCATCATCGTGTTTCAGCAGAGGTTCATGGTTGGGCCGAGTTATGACGCAATTTGCGCCAAGTACTTCGAAGGGGGCTGTGATATCATCTCTTTAATCCAGGAGGCTGACATCTGGCTGATGAGGTCTGACTTTGTGTTTGACTTCCCCCGTCCCACCATGCCCAACGTCATCTACATGGGGGGGTTCCAGTGCAAGCCGGCCCAGCCCCTGCCTCCAGAGCTGGAGGAGTTTGTCCAGAGTGCCGGGGAGCATGGGGTGATCGTCATGTCTCTGGGGACTCTTGTCAATGCACTTCCTGTTGATATCACAGACCAGATCGCCAGTGTGTTCGCCAAGCTCCCTCAGAAGGTGTCCTGATTGTTTTTGATTATTAACATTTACATTTAAAGCTCTCTGCAATGTAAGTGATGTAAATGAGAGGTTATTTAAACAGAAAGTAATGTCTTCTTTTATCTAAGGTGATCTGGAGGCACCTGGGCAAGATTCCATCCACTCTGGGGAACAACACCCTGCTGGTGGACTGGATGCCCCAGAAAGACCTCCTGGGCCACCCCCAGACCAGAGCCTTTGTGGCCCATGGAGGAACGAACGGGGTCCAGGAGGCAATCTACCACGGCACTCCAGTGCTGGGGATCCCCCTGTTCTTCGACCAGTATGACAACCTTCTGCGTCTGCAGGAGAGAGGCGCTGCCAAGATCCTGGAGCTGGCAAGCGTCAACGGACCCAGTTTCCAGCAGGCTCTGAACCAGGTGCTCACCCACGCCTCCTACAGGGAGAACATGCAGAGGCTGTCCCGTCTGCACATGGACCAGCCCATCAAGCCAATGGACAACGCCATCTTCTGGTTGGAGTTTGTGATGCGTCACAAGGGGGCGTCTCACCTGCGTACGTCAGCCTACAGGATGCCCTGGTACTCGTACCACTCGGTGGACGTGCTGCTGCTGCTGCTGGCTGCTGGGGGAGGAGTCCTGCTCTTCGCTGGGCTCCTGATCAGGATCCTCTGGAGAACCTGCCGGAGGAACAGGAACAAAACCAAACAACACTGACACTAGTAGCAGAATCGCATTACTGGAAACCAAGGCAGGCCTGGTTGTAGCTAGCTATGTAGCTATGTTTAGGTCGCGTTTGGGACAGTTCAAGCATTTTAGCTAACCGTAACCCTTTTCCTAACCTTAACGTAGTTCTCCTAACCTACAACATGAATTATCTTAAACCGCTGCGTAAGTTCTCCTAACCTGCTACGAAAAGTAACTTCCGTTAGCCAAAATGAGCCGGTCTGCCCTGAGAGCAGTGTTAGTATCCACTAATGGGATACAGCCCATTAAATGTTCTTTAATCTATATATATCTATACTTATATCAAGAACATCAAACAATTTATTGAAACCTACAACAACCATGTAACCACAGAGTCTTCAGAAAGTTTTCACACCTCTTGACTTTTCCCACATTTTGTTGTTATAGCCTGAATTTTAAATAGATTACATTTAGATTTTTTTTTGGTCACTGGCCTACACACAATACCCCATAATTGTCAAAGTGGATTTTCTATAATTTTTTTCAAATTAATAAAAAATGAAAAGCTGAAATGTCTTGAGTCAATAACTTTTCAACCACATTGTTATGGCAAGCCTAAATAAGTTCAGGAGTAAAACCTTGCTTAACACGTCACATTAGTTGAATGGACTCTGTGTGCAATAATAGTGTTCAACATGATTTTTTAATGACTATTGTTATTGACCAAATACTTATTTTCCACCATAATTTGCAAATAAATTCATAAAAAATCCTACAATGTGATTTTCTGAATTTTTTTTCCTCAATTTGTCTGTCATAGTTGACGTGTACCTATGATGAAAATTACAGGCCTCTCTCATCTCTTTAAGTGGGAGAACTTGCACAATTGGTGGCTGACTAAATACTTTTTTTTCCCCACTGTATGTTAACATTGCCAAAGCAAGTGAAGTAGATCATAAACAAAAGTGATCTCTCTCGCTACCCCTCTCCCTTGCACTTTTGTGGTGTCGCTGTTTTTGTTTGTCTCTCTGTTTTTCCATTGCGAGTTTGACGTTGTGAGCACCTCTGGGTGTTAGACATTTACATTACATTTTAGTTATTTAGCAGACGCTCTTATCCAGAGCGACTTACAGTTAGTGAGTGCATACATTTTCATACTGGCCCCCCGTGGGAATCGAACCCACAACCCTGGCGTTGCAAGCGCCATGCTCTATCAACTGAGCTACAGGGGACTAATACGTTGGCAATAGGATGATGGGCTTCATCCCAAATGGCACCCAACTCCCTAAATAGTACACCACTTCTTTACCAGATTTCAATGACCCTGGTCAAAAGAAGTGCACTATACAGGGAATAGGGTGCCACTTGGGATGTAACCTTGGTCTGTTGCAGTGCAATTTAGCTGCAGACAGGGGGCATGGTGGGTAGTTGGTAGTTTAGGGTCGGCAGCGCTGGATGAAGCGGGGGTAGAGGCACACGTCTCTGATGTGGTGTCTGTTCAGCAGCCAGGTCAGGAACCTCTCCAGGCCCAGCCCGTAGCCACCATGGGGACAGGTCCCATACTTCCTCTGGTCAGTATACCAGTAGTAAGGGGTTGGGTCAATGCCTTCCCTCTTGTATCCCTCCAGCAGTTCCTCAGCATCCCAGATCCTCATAGACCCTCCTACGATCTCTCCAACGTTAGGCATCAGCACATCCACCGACTCAGTGAGGCGTCAGTCCTCAGCACAGCGTTGCATGTAGAAGGACTTGATCTCAGCTGGGAAGCGACACAGCAGGATGGTCTCACCGATGGCATCAGTCATCAGCCTCTCTGGCGCCTCTGGGATGTCCTCTCCAAACTCGTAGTAGGTCCCATCGTCCTTTTTGATGTCATGTTCCTTGAGCCAGATGGTGGCATCAGAGTAGTTCATCCTCTTGAAGGGCCTCTTGGGGGGCTTGAAGTCAGGGTTGACTTGGTAGAGGAGAGGAGCAGCAGGAGACTTCAGGACTCTGTCCACCACATCACACACCAGGTCCTCCAGCCTGCTCAGTAGGTCCTCATAGGGCACTCTGCCTCTATATGAGTGTACTCAGACAGGTGCCTGCGGTAGGACTGTGCGATACAGAAGGTGTCTCCCAGGGCAGGGATGCAGGTCTCCAGGTAGAGCTGAGAGGACTGGGTCAGGAACGCCTCCTCCCCAAAGTAGTTCAGGTTGAACAGGGTGGAACCTCCCTCCACTTGGGTCTGCACCAGGGTGGGCGGGGTGATCTCACAGTATCCGTGGTTGAAGAAGTGGTCCCTGAAGCACTGTGTGACAGTGGAGCGGACCTGGAGGATCTTGGACACGTTCTCCCCACGGATCATCATGTGTCTGTTGTTGAGCTGAACGTCCACATCAGACTCCTCATTCAGCAGGTTGTCAGCTCCTCCAGCCGGGGCCAGCAAGTCCTCATGGATGGGTAGGTTGGCTCTGATGCGACGTCCCATCAACATTTGTGCAGGTGAAAGTCCGTTCTGCAGCGGTGCGCTGCGGTAGATCATCAGACTTTTTAGGAAGTCCTCCTTTCCATCATGTGCCTTTTTCATCAGACCTTTAACTATTTTGACTGAACTTTCTGCTAAGCCGTTGGACCTTGGGTAGTTGGGGCTGGAGGTGTTGTGTCGGAATCCCCAGTCATTAGCGAACGATCGGAATTCAGAACTTGAGAATTGCGGGCCATTGTCCGAGTACAGTTCAGACGCAACCCCATGTCTTGCGAAGACTGATTTCAGGTAGGTGATTACAGCTTTGCTGGAGGTAGTTGGCAGTGTTGCTACTTCAGGGTAGTTTGAGTAGTAGTCGGTAACAACAATGTGACTTTTACCATTGCAGTCAAAAAGGTCAACTCCAACTTTGTAGTAGGGTCGGTTGGGTACTGGATGAGGCATTAGCGGTTCTGCTTGCTGCTTTGGCCTGTAGGTCAAACACGGTTCACATGAAGCAGTGGTCTGGCTGATTTCCTGGTTCATTCTTGGCCAGTACATTACTTCTAGTGCTCGTCGTTTGCATTTTTCCTCACCCAAGTGGCCCTCGTGTATTTTCTGTAGCATTTCTTTGCGTAGTGTCATGGGAATTACAATCTTGTTGCCTTTGAACACTATGTCATCCACAACAGTGAGCTCTGCTCTGTACATCCAGTAATCCTATATTCTCCTTGGACAGTTGTTTTTCTGTGCAGGCCATCCTATCAGTATTGTTTCTTTAAACTCTGTCATTGTTTGGTCAGCTGCTGTCTCTCTTTTGATCTGCGCCATTCTCTCAGAAGACACAGGAAGTGATGCAAAGATCATGTCGACGTAGGCCTGAATCTCAGTGTTTTTCTGTGTGTCGGCGCTCTCTTTCTTGTCGACTGCTCGAGAAAGAGTGTCGGCGGCGAACATGAACTTTCCCGGGGTGTAGATCATCTTCACATCATACTGTTGCAGTCTGATCAACATTCTCTGGATTATCATTGGACAATCATTAAGTGGCTTAGACGTGATTGACACCAGTGGTTTGTGGTCGGTTTCTACTTGGAAGGCTTGTCCGTAGACGTATTGGTGAAACCTTTCGCACGCGTATGTGCTCGCCAGTAGTTCTTTCTCTATTTGTGCGTACCTTGTTTCTGCGCCTGTCAAGGCTCTGGACGCATAAGCGACAGTTTGCCATGTGTCGTCATTCTGTTGCAGAAGAACTGCTCCCAGGCCAAACTGTGATGCACCTGCAGAAATCCTTGTGCTTTTCTCTGGAACATAGAACCTGAGCACTGGCTCTTCCGTGATTGCCTTCTTTAGGTTTTTGAAGCAGTTTTCCTGCTCATGGGACAATTCCCATTCATTTTTCTGTTCCAGAAGACATCTGAGAAGAGTAGACTGTGCTGACAGTTGAGGTATGGACTTTGCAAGGTAGGTGATTATGCCCATGAAGCGTCTCACATCGTCCTTGTTCTTCGGGCGCTCCACGTTGTTGATGGCTGATGTTTTCCTCGGGTCTGGTTTGACTCCATCCTCTGAAAGTACATCTCCCACGAAGGTAAGTGTTTTCACAACAAACTCGCATTTGTCCTTGTTTAGTTTCAGGATGACTTTCCGTGTCAGGTCCAGCACTTGTCTCACTCGCGCGTCGTGCTCTTCTTTTGTGGACCCCCATACGTTAATGTCGTCCATCATGGTCTCTACTCCTGGAATGTGCTCGAAGATCATGTGAATTGTCTTGTGGTAGACCTCTGGCGCTGAGAGAATCCCATATGGTAGACGAAGAAATCTGTACCTGCCCTCAGGTGTGTTGAATGTGCACAGCCTTGAGCTTGCATCATCTAGCTTCATTTGCCAGAATCCTGATGAGGCATCAAGCTTACTGAACCACTTTGCTCCAGCAAACTGCGACATTACCACAATAACCAGTGCGCTTACCCAATCTGTAGGTTCATCCATTTCTGTGATGACGTCCATCTTTTCCATGCGTACGAGTTCCTCCTTGAGCTTTTTCCTCAGTGCAAATTGAACTTTTCTGGAGTAATTTTGTCATCAGTACATATTTTGTGTTCTCCGGGTAAACATCCGAGACCCTCAAACACGTCCTCGTACTCAGCCAGTAGCGATTCTTGGTCATTTTCAGTCTGTGATGTCACTACACTCTTTTCACCAAATTGAGCTTTTCACATGCTCTGAGTCCTAGGATAGGCTGTACACTCTTTTCACCAGATTGAGCTTTTCACATGCTCTGAGTCCTAGAATAGGCTGTACACTCTTTACCACGATCAGCAGCTGTGCTTTGAACTGTTTTCCTTTGTGCTGTAAAGTTACTATGCAGCTTCCTTTAACTGGTACGTTCTCCCCAGTATAACCACTAACCTTCCTTTAACTGGTACGTTCTCCCCAATATAACCACTAACCTTCCTTTAACTGGTACGTTCTCCCCAGTATAACCACTAACCTTCCTTTAACTGGTACGTTCTCCCCAGTATAACCACTAACCTTCCTTTAACTGGTACGTTCTCCCCAGTATAACCACTAACCTTCCTTTAACTGGTACGTTCTCCCCAGTATAACCAGTAACCTTCCTTTAACTGGTACGTTCTCCCCAGTATAACCAGTAACCTTCCTTTAACTGGTACGTTCTCCCCAGTATAACCAGTAACCTTCCTTTAACTGGTACGTTCTCCCCAATATAACCAGTAACCTTCCTTTAACTGGTACGTTCTCCCCAGTATAACCAGTAACCTTCCTTTAACTGGTACGTTCTCCCCAATATAACCAGTAACCTTCCTTTAACTGGTACGTTCTCCCCAGTATAACCAGTAACCTTCCTTTAACTGGTACGTTCTCCCCAATATAACCAGTAACCTTCCTTTAACTGGTACATTCTCCCCAATATAACTAGTACCACTGAAAACACTGCTACTCCTACTGCTCTCTCCTCGTCTGACCATGTGTTCTCGCATACCCCGAGAGCATCTGGTCAGAGGGGTGGTGGCACAGGAATCCTCATCTCTCCCAAGTGGACAT